AAAATAAGAAATAAATAGAGATCATTCATCATATATCTGTTAAACTATTTTCGTTTGTATTTGATGTTTTATACGTACAACTTCTTCGAAATAATTCAATAAAGTAAAGTGTAATTAATCCTATTTGAGCATATGTTATAATAATTATTGTCCATGCTGAATAATAAATAGTTTTTCTACAAGAATTTTTTTGTGATGCATGTTGTCGATTTTTAATATTTATTATTTCAATACTGCCTAATATTAAATAACAGAATAAGATAGATACTATTAACAATAATAAAACAAAATTAATTAAACTTGTATAAATTTTTTTAAGTCCCTTTGTATTTTGATTTCCACAAATAACAGTGAGACATAATAGAGGTAAAACAGGTACTGACATAATACCATTGATAAGAAATAATAAACGAAATGATAAATCGGCTATTGGACATTCTTTTGATAAACGTTTTAATGCAATTGTTAATGATATAATTGGTATAATAGTAAAATAAATTATTGTCGATATTAAAAGAATGATACTGAAATAGGCCCAATGACGTTGTAATTTAACGGTTTTAACAGTAATATTAACATCTTTTTCTACAGTATCATTTTCATTTGTTTTATCATCACTTGATATCATATGAACTATGAATTTTATTTATCACAAGGATTTGTAGAACTAAAAAAATATATTTTACAAGACTATGTATTTATATAGTAAAATGAATAAAGAGAAATTTCTATCAGACATAAGAAAAGAACTTAATAAAAGATAAAATATATTTATTATATATAGAGAATATTGTTTATACTACCTACTTTAAAATAAGTTTAAAATTATGAAGAGAATGTTCATTGTTCTGTTATCATCTCTTTTCTCAGATATAATTAGAACAATTTCATGTTCTTCTATAGGATTGATATATAAGACATTTCGAAATAGTTTTTTTTTTATTTGTTTTGAGATCTAAGCTTTCACATAATTTACTGTGTTTTGAAAAATTCATTCATCAAATTTTTTTTTTCTTATTTTTATAAAACACGTTAAAATTATATTTTTTTTCTTCTTCTATAATTTAAATATTTTTATTGAGTTTTTCTTCTTCGTTTTTCATCAACATTTATGTATGATGAAATAACCTAACAAAATAAAATCACGAAAAAAAAAAGTTTTTCTTTTTCAGAGTAGTAATAGCAGGGTGATTGGTATTTTTCGTTTTTTTGTTGTTGTTTTTCAACTACTTATAGACGGAACAAATTTTTCAAAAAAAAAAAAACTAAAATAAAAGATTTTTATTTAACCACTTGAAAAATTCAAAATGGTATTTTATATTTGTTTTCTATTAGCTTAGATGAAAATTATCATTCTAATAATCATTCTATAAGCAATATTGAGCATATATAATGGATAATAAGAAAAATAGGATATTATTCAGACATAATTATCTATAATCAAGTCAGTGTATATTATGCAAACGTCCATTCTTTTTTTTTTAGTATAAAAGAAGCAAAAGCAAATAAATAATCCTTTCATCAATAACAAAAACAGTACCATTATATTTATGATATGCTCTTAATAAATCATAACCTTTATTTCAAGCGTATAACCTTTTTTTCCATACATAAAAACAAAATTTTACAGTAGGATAGAGTTGTTAAGATCGTGAAGCTCCTTTAAAGTTATACAATATACGAACACAAATGTTATGTGAGCCAATCGAAATTTTTAATGGACAGTTTTTCTATTAATCATAACAGAAAAATTTATATAATATAACAATTTTTGAGTAATCACAAATAATACCATTAATGATTAAATTTTTTATAAAAAAATATTTTTTTTATATTCAAACTTTGAAATATTCAAAATTGTGTTAATTCGAATAGAAATAGTGAAATATGATGTCGAAATTATTTTGTGTACACAATTCACATTCGTTATGAATTATTATGTCAGTATAATCCATGAAAAAACCTTTATGATCATTTACCGTATTCAATCGACTCAATTAAATAATGACATACTTTAGCGTTCTATAGTAAAAAAAAAAATGGCTGAGTATTTATATAATGTTTATAAAATTGAATTAAGATCCTCCCATTTAGATTTGATTCAGACTTTGTCACATTGTAGTTTCCACTTCAAAATATATATGAAAAGAGTTTAGAGGTTTACGGACGTGTAGTTTTCCAGAAAAAAATTTTTAATTTTTTTCGGCTTTTTTTGCCCATTTTTTAAAATTTAAATAAAAGTTTTGCTTTTCAGTTTGAAACCTCAGTTTTGTAACTAATCGATAGAGCGCATCGAGATGTATTTGTGAAAAGATTGTCATCATTCTCGAACAATGTTTGGCGGCGAAATTCGGATTTGACCTTGACGATTGATTTTTTAGGGACCAAAAGTGTGCGTTTTCGAAGTCTTGTCGGGTGATAGAACTTTCGTCACGTTAATCTTCGTCACATACAAAAAAGAACTTTCGTCACACGCCACGAAAGTATATGTCATTTTTGGGGGAGTACCGCCCCCACACTTTGATCATGAATGGTGAACTTTCGTAACCAACTGTGTAACGATAGCTACACCTATCATCACACCCCATTGCGAACTTTTGTGACAACTCAGAAAGAACTTTTGTCACACTAATAACATAGAACTGCTTCGGACTACTTCAGTTTGGACTGCTGCAGTGTGGACTAACCTTCAGACTGAACTACTCCCAAACGCAATGGACGCTTGATTTTGATATTTTGACTTTAAAAAAAGACTTCAGAAGGGCTTTTTACGCATTTCGCAAGACAATGCAATGTTTGTAAAGAAAAAAGCAAGATGTTATCACTCCAATTTGCACTGCTATACTTTGAACTAATGCACTTTCCACTACAACCTTGATTTCATCGCAGCCGTTTCATGCAACGTGTGACGAAAGTGCCGACCTGTCTAAAACACCAGACACTTTCGTCATAACCGAAAACGAGCTTTGTTGACGAAAGTTCAGCGTGACCCGATGACGAAAGTGCTGTAAAACGTCTTGCCTGGATACATTTTGGAGTGAAAATGTGAGTGTTGAAGTTGTTTATCATGGTTTTGTTTCTATGGGATAATACTTTCCTGTCACTAAATTTCTTAAGGTCAATCTTTAAAATTGAAAATACTGAGACGCTGCACTGCGGAGAAAAGGCGCTCAAATTTTCACGCTGCTTTCTCTTTTCTTCGGAGCCACAAGATAGTGTTCAGAAAATCGTCAACTCATAGAACATAGACACTTTCACATACGGAATCGAATGGACGTGTCAAAAATCGAAAAAAAAAATAAATATATATATTCAGACCGGTTTTTCTGAGTGCCAAAGCGCAAAATCATCCAAGACCTTGTACAGAGTTTCGTTTCAGAAAAGCATTATAGAAGAAAACTGTGGGAATAAAAATTGTTCACAATCAAATTTTACACCGGATGAGCGGTGAAAATTTTGAAAACACGGTTTTTGAATCGGTAAATACAATAATAAATAAATAAATTTACAAAAAATTCGACTATTAAAAGTGTTTTGGGATTTAAAAATCGAGTTTTCAAAAATTCCTTCGCTCATCTGGTCTATAATTTGATTCTGAACAACATTTGTAACAAAACTTTTGTTCCAAAATGCTTTCCTGAAGCGAAATCGTGCTCAAGGTTTTTC